TATCTCCTTTGGGCGTGATCAGGATAACAAGATTGCCATAAAAAACTGTGATGGTGTTCCTGCCCTTGTTCGGTTGCTTCGAAAGGCTCGGGATATGGACCTTACTGAGGTTATTACTGGTAAGTTCTAGGTGCAAGGGACACGGCAAGGTTGGGGGCACTGTTACCTATTAGAGAGGTTGAGAACTTGTGATAGGGGTTTGCAGTTTTTTTACATTTTATTAGAGACTGTGAATTGGTGGTAGCCAAGATTTGTTTAGATAGATAGTGTTTGGGTGTTTTTATTTATTTACTTTTTTTAAATAATTGGTTGTTAATGTTTAGCAGGGGAGCTTTAGTGGCCTAGTGGGTAAGGATTTGCATTGCCAACCCCAAAGGCAGGTGATTCATATTCATGGGCAACTCTGTTGGAGAAAGATGGAATATACTGACTTTTAAAAATTTACAGCCTCTCAAAATCTGTTGGAGGGTCAGCTATGAGTTGGTTCCAACTCAATAGCATTGAGAGAGAAGTATAACATACATGAGAGTTGACTTAAAAGTTGATGTTCTTCTCGTAAAAATGTGGACATGCTAATGACAATAGATCTGCCTTCCTGTTTGCAATTGTTGGTCTGAACTTACCGGTTTGTGTCCTGCTCACTTTGCAGCAATCACCAGCACATCCTGTTAGCTCTGCCCAACTATTGTCAAGTAGGAAGATATGTTCTAACATTGAATCTGGGAGTCAGTTGCCATTTATCTATGTTCTTGTAATACACAAATTTTTACTTTATTGTTAGGCTTGTACAGACATTTGAGCTCATGGCCCTTGCTTAAAGAATAGTTATTTTTAAGGGAGGGAGCTCTGGTGGCCTAGTGGCAAGGCGCTGCATTGCAATCCCAAAGGCACATAGTTCTAATCCACCAGATGCTCTTTTGGAGAAGGAGGAACAATCTCCTTCCATGCCAGTTGGATCCATGGTACTCAACAAGAGAGAATAGTGGTTACTGAAATGCAGTTGTGACCCACTAGTACTTACTGAAAGCAATTTTGTGGATTTCGTTCACCATCCTAAGACAAAGACACATAAAAGTAGTAATACACATTAAAGGTTCTCAGTGAGGGGTGATTGTTGTGTGTTGTGTACCAAAGCATCAGAATTGACCAATAGCTGACCTGTTGGTGGATTTTCAGAGGCATTTACACAAGAGGAAATTGCCCATCCTTCACCCGAAGGGCAGCTAGTGGCCTCGAACTGTGTGCCTTAGGGTTTGCAGCATGCCTACTTGCAACTAGGCTGCCACAGTTCACAGGGGTGAAGGATAGTAATTTTGCACCTGCTGGCATTTGCAGTGTCTGTAGGCACATTTGATGATTGTTAATGCTTTTAGCATCTAATGAGTGGAGGCCAGGATACTGCTAAATGTTTAACATGGAACAGAATAGCTCCTAAACAACAACAAAAACTGTCCAACCTAGATTCCAGAATGCCAGTGCTGAGGTTGAGCGAGTACTGCTTGTAGAGTAAATAGTGTTTTATGAAGCTCTGTTAATGTTTGTTGTAGACCATGTTGTTAGATGCCATCAAGTTGCCTTTTACTCCTATTATTCCATTGTGAGCCGTAATGTGAAATACATTTCTTACTGTGGATTGCAAAGCTTGAACATTACAAGTGATTGGGGAAGACTGAGAAATGACGGAATAGGGGATTCTCTCTGGCTTTCTTCAAATGTCCTGACTCGCATGCTATGCTGGTGAATTCTCCGACCTTTTGCCTCTGCCAGGAACTCTGTGGAATCTCTCATCCCATGACTCAATCAAAATGGAGATTGTGGACCACGCACTGCATGCCTTGACGGATGAAGTGATCATCCCACATTCTGGCTGGGAGCGGGAGCCTAATGAAGATTGTAAGCCTCGCCACATTGAGTGGGAGTCGGTGCTCACCAACACAGCTGGCTGCCTCAGGTAACATGGCTGACTTGGAAATAGCAAAATTATATTTTTGAGGATAAACTTAGGTTTAAGGGAAAAAAGAAATTCTTTAGTCTGTCAGTCTTTACCCTACCTACCTTGCGTACTGTGATTCCTACCTACCTTATTACTTTTGTTGTTACTCTCTTTGTACCATATAAAGCCTGCTGCTTTCCAAATATCCTTGCCCATTTTTAGGCTTCTTTGACATTGTCAAAGCTGGTAAACATACATTCAGTACTTACCATGAATAAGACACTTCTCTAGTCTGTGTCTATAAGCCTGTCTCTAATTTATCTGTATTTCAAGTCAAGCTGTGATAAATTCAACAGAGGAGGTGCAGACTCCTGGGAGGGTTGGGGCCAGGGTGGGGAAATCTGTTCCTCCTTCTGTCTGTAACTTGTCTTTTGAGACTAAACGTAAGTGTCTTTGTTTCATCAAAGTGCCCTTGATTTCTTCCTATACCCTACAGATGCTGCTATATTTTCTGTTTTTCAATTTTCTTTTATTGTTAAGAACATGGATAGCAAAAAAATACACCAACAGTTTCTTCGTGTATAATTCATAGACACTGAAGTAAACAGTCTGCGTTGGCAGCCATTCGCTTGTTATTCCGCTCCTGTGAGTGATACACGTACCCTCCTTCTGAGGTTCTCGTTTAATCTTTGGAGTTACTGTTGTCCTTTTGATAGGCATATTTTTTTTTAAAAGCATAATGCTCAGGGAGCTCTGGTGGCCTAGTGGCAAGACATTGCACTGCAATCCCAGAAGTATGTGGTTCAAATACACCAGATGCTCTGCTGGAGAAGGAGGGGGCACTCTCCTCCTGTACCAGTCAGATCTGATTTGACGGTACACGTAAAAATAAAACAATTAAAAAAATAAAATAAAAAAATATTTCTTTTTTTTTAAAAAAAGCATAATGCTCAAAAGAGACATGCTCTACCATAATCTTTCCTTCTTTGGAAATGATAGGTGATGTCTGTATCATTTTGCTTACTCTATTCTAAGTACCTATTCTACCTTTAATTATTGCTGTTGTGATATTTCTTTACCCATATGTGTAGGGTTTAGGTTCTTCAAAGTAGGAGCTGTTTGAGTAAGAATTCATTAAGTTTCCTGTTGTTTCCAATACCTTCCTAATAGAATAGGTATTCACTCATTGTTACCATGAACAGAAAATGTATTAATGAGGTTGAGGGATGTTTAAAGGAATATTTTTATGTTTGAGGCCTCTCTCTCTTCCCCCTCAGGAATGTCAGCTCAGAGCGAAGTGAAGCTCGCAGGAAACTTCGGGAATGTGATGGTTTAGTGGATGCTCTCATTTTCATTGTTCAGGCTGAGATTGGGCAAAAGGATTCGGACAGCAAGGTATGTTAGTGGCTGAGTGAATTTCATTCATAGCAGCCATGTGGTACCTGGAATGCAGACTTGCCAACTTAAATTTTCAAATCATGTTAGATACCTGTACCAGCTGGGACTTTGAAGGACAGTTTTCTTTAGAATTTCTTTAACCTATATAATATATTTTTAAAGCTGCTTACCTTTCAAAGTTGTACTTTTTTTTTTTTAAAAAAAGTATTAAAAAGTCAAAGTAAACCGCTTTGGGTCACATAAAGAGTGAGCAAAATTAATTGTGACTGTACTTGGCTCTTATATTGGCATGAAGCGGCAAGGATTTTGAAAGATCTTCTGGGTACTTTAGAGATGATGGATTGGGCTGTGCTTTTGAGCATCTATATTTTAATCAAGGAAATCCGTGGTGATAGGAAACGACTGTGGGCAGTCTCTGCTCTTATTGAGCCTTCTCTCTTCTGTCCCCAAGCTTGTGGAGAACTGTGTTTGCCTTCTTCGGAACTTATCATATCAAGTTCACCGGGAGATCCCTCAGGCAGAGCGTTACCAGGAGGCACCACCCACCGTTGCCAACAATACTGGGCCACATGCTGCCAGCTGCTTTGGGGCCAAGAAGG